CTAACATTGTTAACTTTAGACATCCGTAGATGTACATTTACCTCTGTTGCTAACAGCTGGGTGTAGGAATAGTTAGTCCCTTAAAGTATACCTGTAATGGTATCAACCGTAGACATCTATAGATGTGCATTTACCTCTGTTGCTAACAGATGGGTGTAGGAATAGTTAGTCCCTTAATGTATACCTATAATGGTATCAATCGTAGACATCCGTAGATGTACATTTACCTCTGTTGCTAATAGCTGGGTGTAGGAATTGTTAGTCCCTTAAGGTATACCTATAATGGTATCTAGACATATAATATATAATAGTAATTCGCCATATAATATCTATGTAAAAGTATTCATGTAAACGTACTCGTGTAAGCGTACCTATGTAAACGTACTCATGTATCATGTAATGTACTCATATAGACTCATGAATGAACTGACTCTTGTGTAATTCCCTGTACTTGGAATAGTAAGTGGTATCTCCTAACTATACCTATTATAGTTACTAGTAATGTACGAGTATAACCGGAAGTATACTTTGCTACTCAAAGGTACTGAACTGACTAATGGAACCTTGATACCTATATATGTATACATGATATATAAATAATATTTAGACGACCTTCGGACGGGTACCCGATATCCCACCAGACCACATCCAAATCGAGGAAAAGGAAACAGGGTGGATAGCCTTCCTAAGTCTTTTAAACATTTCTTATATAATTATACATATAAAGGCATGCAATTTATAATATAAAAGCGTAAAAGAAGTTTTGTAAAACCTTTGAAAAGTTTAATAATAAGAAACGATGACCTGATGTCAGTTTATAAAACGATTGAAAGTATTTTGTTTGATAATACAGTTTAGGTATATGGAAAACCTCTGTTTGAAAACACCTTTGTAACAGAGTTTGAAAGGAAGCTTACAGTGTGTAAGACAGTTTGACAAAGAGCTTTAAACATGTAAAAACGTTTTAAGAAAGTCAGTTTAAGTAAAATGTTCGGGAAAACTGCTAAACCTATAGTAAATCCATTTATATACTAGATATAAATCTCATATGATTGATTTATTAACAGTAAGTATAGCAAAAGATTGATGTTTTTTTTGTGCCAAATTAATCGTATGTTTGTAGTACCAAAGATGGACACATATACATACCGTATACGCAGGGTGTTTGATTCATATATATAACAACATTTTTCACTTCAAAAGTTATGATGTTATCGCGATATATTTTGCATACGAAAGTTTCCCTATAATAGTTATAAATCACATATGATTCTGTTGATAAAAAGCGTATAATGAAACTTTATTATATAACACACGATAATAATCGAGTGTTTTACTTGTATTCCCCCCCCTTAAAAGCATATAAAAGTATTTATAGCACATTTAAAAGTGTGAATTATAGGTGTATGAACTCACTTGATTGAAATGGTTGATTTGAAGTAGTCGAGAGAAGAATCGAGCAGAACATCGACAGGAAGAGTTGAAAACGCGGCAAAATCTCGGGATTCTCGGGAATCTCGGGAACACAAAACCTTCCTTCGGGACTTGAAGGTGAAAATCGGGGCTTTGGGAGGGTCTCGGGGGCTTAAACGCAGAGTTTCGGCGCGAGAAAGAAGGGAATTGAGCAATGGAACTCGGAGCCCTTGAAATCTATTTATAGGGGCATTTCTGGTGTGTGCCACATCGTGGCAAGGTATGGCCACGTCGTGGGGAGTCAAACTTATCCTCTTCCATTGATTGGACGCCCTCAGTCAGTTGCCGGGTCCCGGCAAGCTTGTGCCACGTCGTGGGGGCCTGACAGCCTCGGATTTTGGACCCCGAACTTGTAAAATCCATAAGTTTTGAATACGAGCTCAGTTTTTGACGTTCTTTATATGAACGCGTAGCTGAAAAGATGATCTACAACTATCGTTTAGACTTCATCGGCTAATTTTGATTTTATTTTTAATTATTTATTTTTAACGGGTCGGGACACGAAAATTCCGTTAAAAATGCATAACTTCTTCATCCGATGTCCGTTTTCATCAGACATTTCATCGTTGCACTACTATTGTTGAGACCTTTGATTCTCATTTAGGTTGTTTTGGCCAAAAGTCTCTTGAGCTCTATTTCGAGTTTTTAGCTGTCTACTGCTATATGTGGATCTTGGAAAAATCATAACTTCTTCATATGAAGTCAGATTTGGACGTTCTTTTTACGTACGTTTACGGTTTAATGTTATCTACAGCTTTCATTTAGATATTTAAGGCTAAATAATATTGTATTGAAACTTCGCGTTTTTCGTTTAATCGGTGTTGTCGATTTTGCCGAGAATCTTCGGTTGGTCATAACTTCTTCGTTATAACTTGGATTCTAGGGTTCTTTATATGTACGAAAACCTTGATACGATTCCTACTACTTTATTTAACCCAAATAATATTTTAGGAAAGTTCAATTTTGACTGAAATTTGACTTGTGATCAATCATATTATATCGAAATATCGGGTTGTCACAATAAATATATAATATTTTCATAAATATGGTATGATATCGAAAATAATATCAATATACTATGTCTAATATATTTACAAAATATAAGGAAATATAAATTTGGTTAGTGCTGATATGATCTAGGAATTGCAAATTTTAGTTTTCAATTTCCATATTTAGTAGGGATTACCTATTTCAGTTAACAATTGATAAATTTAATATTATTTGAGGTAAATAGCTAAATGTTATGTTATTGTTTATTTATTTATTAGGAAATTCCTATTTCTGTTATCTGATTATTATTTGTCATAAAATATGTATTTGTATAATAAGAAACTATTTAACTTATTAATATTTCCTCTTTTATGTTTCAAGATTAAAGTAATCAAGGTCCAACTAAATAAAACTATAGGCAATTAGGCATGATGTCAAAAGGTTGGCCGAATCAAATAAATCAACTACACCTAAGGTCAATTAAGTGATTACAGAATCTTAAATTGTCGTAGTGAATAGAATAAATTAAGCTATAACAACAATAATAGTATAGCTTTATAATCATATTTAATACATTACCTATTTATAAATTTAAAAAAATAGGTGGTAAAGTGTCGACAGACCATACATAACAGTTATCAATATTGAGACTCTTTTTGACATGTGTAATCTAATTTATTTTTACTCTTTGCAATACTAACAAAAAGTTGGTTGCGTTCAACGGTACGTTGCCCTAATACAACACCTATAGCTGAAAGGGTAAATTGGGAAATCGAAGAATTAGACCTACCCTCGGAAGCACTAAAGATTGATAAATGATAACTCTACTTTAAAAATGGGCACGCGAGTTTTGGCATTTGATATTGGAAATTTATGCCCTAGCCAATGAAATTCAGTCATGGATGCAGCTTGTTCAGATCTTGCTTCATCAATAACAATCTGTATTTATAAAAAAAATGAAAAGAATGGAAGAAATAAGATTTGTGTGAAGTTAACAAGGTATTCAAATTAATAGCATTACCTCGAATTTAGATTTTAAATGGTAAAGTGCAGGTCCAATCTTACTAAGATGAGGGATCATATCCATTGTGACATCCCGAAAATTTTTCCGTCAAGATAACCCGTTCCCGTCAGCAAATCTCGTCTGTCTTTCAATTTCCCGCTAACCTTTTTGGATTAGGTCATTTAGTTTAAGACTTTTATAATGATCTCGTGAGTTTCCAAACCCATTAGAAACACATGAAAACACCCCAAATTATTAATTGGAAAACTTTTAGTTTCGACCGCGTCGAGTTACGACAACTTAATCGGGTGCGACCAAAATCCCCGTTTATCATCAATATCAGGTAGAATTCCACCGAGCCTCAAACCCAAACCCTATTTAAAGTTGAGTGCACTTCATTTGAAGATTTTCCACTCTCTATCTCTATACTCTCTCTAAAAACTCAATCTTTGATCCAAAATCACCCATTTCAAGCCCCAAATTGGTATGTAATCCTTGCTAACTCATAGTATAACACATTTAGCTTTCAAATCCGTGTTTAATTCATGAAATAGGACCAAAAACATGTGTTTACGGCCCAGGAACACCCTTGGGCCGCAAACACACATAGATGGGGGGGTTTTGAGCCTCAAAACCCTTCCAAACCACTTTTGGAGCTTAGATATGTCTTAGGGGCTTACAATACTAGACTTAGAACACCAAAACCTTATTAATTGAGGGGTAAACATGATTTTACAGACCAAGAACATGCTTGGACCGATGAACACCCTTTCATAGGCCGTAAACCCCTTTTAAGGTGTTGAAATCCCCTTAAACACCTCCTAAGCCTTGGAATATAGTCTAGAACCATCCAACAATGTGTTAGGGACCTTAAACATGCAAGAAACCATCCCTTAAGGAGTTCATGACTGTAAACCCCCCAAGTAATGGTTCCTGGGCTGTAAACTCCTCTAAGATGGTCAAATGATGCCTTAACTTCCTTCCATGGCTTGTACTTTGGATTAGAAACTCTTATGATTAACCTAGGACAACCAAAACACACTTAGAATGGATACATAAGAGTTTACGGCTGTAAAATCCTAGTTTACCACCGTAAACTCCTCAAATGGTCCTTATGATATTCAAATTCCATTCCAATGCCTTAAAACCAAGCATAGCACCCAAAACCAAAACACACTAGCATTACTCCACAAGAGTTGTAAGACCATTTAGCACCCAAGAACACCCCCACCATGAGTTTACGGCCGTAAACTCATGGGGAGTTGGTCAATGGGCCAAAAACTCCATTAGGAGTTTACTATTGAAGAGCAAACTCCATATTCAAGCCATACACACCCTTAGATGCTACCCGGGTCACTCCTAACACATGGAATGAAGTGTTTTCACGTCTCGGAGTGTATATTCTCAATTCATTAGTAGTTCAAAGCCTAATTAGATACAATTATGTATTTCCTCATATTACATAGGAACCTCGCACGCGTTCAAGCCCTGAACTATCATTTAGCATCCAAACATAGTCTGTTATTGTCATGCCTTATGCAGCTACACCTTTTCTGATAACATCCACAACAACAAGTGAAGCACCTATAATAAAAGTAAAAGGTTTTCTTGTTTCTTTAAATTCATTTATCAAGTAGCATGAAAATGTTTCTTTAAATTCTTTAAATTCACAACAACTGAAAAATAAAGGATGAATGATTCAAGCATATAATCATTAGTACATGAGAAAATTTAGAAAGTAAATGCAGGAATATTATTGATCAGCTCCTTGAAATACCTGCACTTATATTCTCAAATGCAGGACTACTATTGATTGGTTCTCCTCTTGTCTGACTCATGGTAAACCTATAGTAAAGGAAAGATGGAAAAAAACTGTCAAAAGAAATATACCCAAAATCAATGAGTAGGTCCCACCAGCCTAAAGCATCTACAAAACCTGTTAAGTGAACAGAAGTGATTAAAAATCTACATGGTGTTTTTATTATTCATATGCATGATACTTTTTAAATTATAAAGTAGATGATAACCAAAAAAATATTACCACATAACTTCAGGTGGGTGAAGACAGTGGCAGCAATGAAGAAAACCATGGATATAGCAACCCAGAAATGCTGGAAAAAATAGTGCTTTTAGACTCTTAAAGACAAAGGTATCTTTCGATTAAATATGAGAAGAAAGGTGAAGGGATATAGATATGAATATACTTTCTTTATCAAATAAACTTACAGGAAGTGTCTCCCATATTGCATCATCACTCACACTTTCATCATCTCTAGGTAATACGGCCTTGCACATTCTGTAAATGATAGATTATCAATTATGTACATTAAAAATTAGCATAACCAGGCTGTAAAGAGAATAGACAATCACCTGAAATTGTCAGCAAGAATGGTTACTTCAAATGCCAACAGAGGAAGGAAGACAATCTGCAGTCTTACAGGTGGAGGCTTAGTAACAGTATAAAACTAAATTAGTATGGAATCAGAACTGATATACATGGTATTATTTTCTAAACAATTAATATAATAATGTCATATGCTGTCATACCATGGCTATTTTCAAGATAGATGCAAAGAAGCAGTTCAATGGTAATAAGCAAAGGTGTGGCAACAAGTGCATGACATGGTTCCCACTGCATAAAAGATAAATAAAAAGTATTCCCTGATGCATAATGTAAGATATGGAAATGAAACAGTTCATAAGGTTTATACAGATTGTTCATACTTATAGTATTACTTATTAAAGTGAATGAAAAATGATGATCAAAAGGAAGAAAAAGAAAGAGATCATACATTACGGACATGGGGAACTGATGGTGCAGGTAATGAGAATCTTCCTCTGGCAACAACAGCATGAAATACGAAAAGTGGGAAGAAAATGACCCTGCATACAACAATAAATCATCATCCATTATGCTTTCATTCTACAATTCATGCATAAAGGATTGAAAAACCTTCGGCTTTAAGAAACAAAAATCTCTCTTTCAATCTAAAGTCGCATAAGAACTTGGGGTAAACATGTTTAGAGGAGATAATCTAGATAAAAAAGGAGCCAAATCTTGAAGAAAACATAAGTACACAAAAACCCCAATAAGCCTTAATGATATGAATTCAGATACGTGAAACGAAAGTTCAGTAATCAGTACAAAGCTACAATCGGAGCTGATTTCTTAACTAAAGAGATACATTTTGAAGATAGGCTTTTCACTTTACAGGTCTGATTCATTACAAGCATCCATGAAATCATGCCATTATTATAAATTTATAAGCATCCATTGTTGAAATCGATAAGGTTTGGGGGTTGATTTTGTTACAAATATGGGACACAGCTGGACAGGAAAGATTCCAAAGCCTTGGTGTGGGATTTTATCGTGGTGCAGATTGGTATGTTCTTGTGCATCATGTGAATGTGATGAAGTCATTTGAGAGTCTTAATAATTGGAGGGAAGAGTTTCTTATTCAACCTAGTCCTTCTGATCTAGAAAACTTTCCATTTGTTGTTTTGGGAAAAAAGATCGATGTTGATGGGGGCAATAGTAGAGTGGTAATATGGTCTTTTTGTCATTTTAAATTTAAATTCATCAAGATTCAACTTCCAATACACAAGTAACAAATGGAATGCGAAAACACATTTGTTTAATCTACTTTCTTATTTTCAGGTGTCGGAGAAGAAAGCAAAAAGCATGGTGTGCTTCAAAAGGAAATATTCCTTACTTTGAAACATCCACTAAAGAAGGGTTTAATGTTGAAGCTGCTAAAGAAGGGTTCAAAATGGAAATGCGGTTAGGGTTTTCAAAATCTTACCTGCATAAAGAACTCGATCTCCTAATCGAGCTTCAACATATTTCATCTGCATCTGAAGTAGAACACAGAAGATCGAAAACCGTTGATGGTCGACGTGGTGCCCCTCAGGGCTTCCTGGGTTTACGCATAGGATCGATTCCATATCAGCAGAAGTAGAACGCATAAGTTCGCTTCCATGTATATACGAAATCAATGGGGTTACGCATATCGGCAGAAGGAAGAGGTTAGGCTTCATATCTATTGAGTTTCACGGGGAGCTGATTGTGCTGATTGTGTAGAGAGAAAACATAAGAATGAAATTAGGAATGAATCGTAAGAAGGAAGTTTTATTCGACAGGCGCGTGTATTTTTTTGGGTCAGGATGATGTCAGCAAAATGATCCTAATGTGGAGACTAAAGGAGGGAAATGCAATCAAGGGCCCTTGTTTCTTCATTGTAGAACTTAAGGTTTTGTTTTAGTAATATTTAGAGATTTAAAAAATTAGCCTTAAGATATTATTTATATATAGATTTAAAATAATTCTATTTTAATATAGTTTTATACATTTAAAATTTGAAAAGCTTCCAACTAAGTTTGTTAAAACTTATATATATATATATATATATATATATATATATATATATATATATATATATATATATATATTCCAAAATACAAGTACTCATAACTATGTTATCCCTAATTTTGGCTTCAAACTTATCATCTAATTATTTGAAAAAACTTATATATATATATATATATATATATATATATATACATAAGTTTTTTCAAATAATTAGATAACTATGGTATCCCTACTGAACTATATATATATATATATATATATATATATATATATATATATATATATATATATATATATATATTCCAAAGTACAACTACTGAACTACTAGATAACTATGGTATCCCTAATTTTGGGTTTGAATTTATTATTTAATTATTTGAAACAAAATAAATATTTAATATCAATATGAGACTTTCTCACTTGTTGAGGCTTGGTCTCTTAGACCAGATGTTCAGATTGGAGGTCTCTAGTTGTACATGCATTGAAGATTTCTAATCACCAGGTGATAATTTTGTACCACTAACAAACCATTCAAAAAAAAAAAAGAAAAACTAAATAATGAAATAAAAAAATTTAACATATTTAATTAATATAAGTTGAATTAGAGTAATAAATATTAAAAATTTAATATTTGGAAATCAAGGACTAAATATGCAAAATCGTTAAAAGTATTGTTTACAAAAGTTTTTACTTTAATGATATTTAACCATTTAAGTCCTATAAAAGATGGAGAGTGACTAGAAATCCTATACTTCAAAGTATAAATGTAGGATTTGAAAGTATCAAACTTCCTTATTTACTATAATTGGTATGTACTTGATCCGATAGTAGCATGATGATTTTGGGTTGCCTTCACCGGAGCAATTTGATAGGATAGATATTTGAAAAAAGAGGTTATTTGTGATTTATTAATATATTATATGAATAATATATTAATTGAGAAATCATATTATTTAATTGGTATTGGTCAATAATTAATATCGAATTATTTTGGTGATTAAAAGAGACTGATGAAATTAACGAGGACTGATTAAGTAAATCAATAATACATATAGTTTGGGCTAATGTTCCATGTTGATTAGGATCGACTAATTTTATGGGGGAGTCCATAAATGTCACACCCCTAAACCAGAACGGCGGAATCGTTCGAGGGCGGATGACTTCATGTAGTATGGTAACAGTTGAATACATAGTAAAGAAAGTAAAACAACCATCATATATATAATTCAAAAGTTACATTGTTGAATGATACTTGTTCAAAATAAATTACAACATGATGACAAAAATGAGTTTTAAACTATCGCCTTAGCGTCCCTTCTCCAAAACCTGTGATTTACTTGTATTACTGAATCCCTGAGAAATACAAGTAGTTGTGAAAGAGTGTCAACAATTAAGTTGGTGAGTTCATAAGCGTTTATGTATAAAATTGGTAAGTTTGGTATAAATCACTAAGTTTACTTCTGAAAAATCCAATATTTTTCCATGAGTGTGTGGTAGCTTAAGAGCTACAAAACTATAATGCATTAGTAGTTGTCATGCCAAGAATAATAGATTTATGTATGAATAAAATCACTAAGTCATTTGATAACCCCGTAAATCATCGTGTTTTTAATACTCCATGTGAGTTTTATGCCCATGCTATTGACTTAGGCTGCATGTAACAACGTTCTTTAGGCGTTGGAATGTTACGACGTTTGTCACCCTAGACCTGTCGGTCTAACTATAGCTAACACTTTAGGTGCGGGATTGTCAATCCCGTATAGATCTATACACAAGTATCACACTCTCCCTACAAGAGATTATGGTATATAATAAAGGACTTTAACGGCATACTTGAAAGTACGTGAAGTGGAATGTCTCACAAAGCTTAGTATCAAATAGATTTACGTATGAAAAGTCCATTTGTTCTCGTATATGAAAGTATTTTCTTGATTTAGTACCTATAGTATGTAAAATCTCATGATTTCCCCATAAACTATACCTATTATAGTTTTTCCAAAAGTATATTTCATTTCTATGGTAAACCCTAGTGTAGAGTCGACTTTGTACATAAAGTATAACATTTGGAATAACATCATTGAACATTTATACTCAAAATATAAATAAAGTGTTTGATATTTATATATAAACATGTTTCATTTCAAAATGAACAAAGTGTTATCGTGATATGTTGCATGAGAATGTTTATGTATGATAGTTATAAATCACATATGATTGATTATAACAACAAGTATAGCAAATGATTTATGATATTCACATGAGGATAATCGTGTGTTTAATTGTATTCCCCCCTTAAAAGTGTATGAAAGCATTTACAAAGCATTTGAAAACATAGTTGGAGGGGTATGAACTCACTTGTTAGTTCGAAGAAGGTGAGAGGAAAACCGAGCAAAACTTCGACAGGAGAAAACGGGTTTCTTGGGAATTTCGGGGGTGTAAAACTTCCTTCGGGACTTGGGTATGAAAACCTGGGCTTCGAGATATTGATTGCACGCAAAACGGAGTAAAAACGTAGGAGAAGGAGAGAAAATGAGCAATTTTTCCCGGAACCCTCACATCCCTTTTATAGGGGGGCTGAACCGCCTCGGTACGATGGGCGTACGAGGCTACGCGGGGCGTAATGGGATGTCATTACTTATGCACTTCGGATGGGAGGGCTTCTGTCCGATGGGAGAGCCTGTGGCTGATGGGACGAGGCTCCTATCCTCTGGTACGCGGGGCGTAAACCTTTACACGAGGCGTAAATGGATTTTTCCAACTTCTAAACTGCATAACTTTTGCATGTGAGCTCCATTTTTCCCATTATTTATATCCACACGTAGGTGAGAATGTACTCTATAGCTTTCATTTAGACTCCGTTGGCAAATTTTTACTTTATTTTAATTATATTATTTTAAACACGCCGGGACACAAAAGGTTCGTTAAAAATCCGTAACTTCTTTATCCAATGTCTGTTTTTGACAGACTTTTTGTCATTGTACTACCATTGTTGAGGTCTTCGATTCTCATTTAGATTGTTTCGGTCAAAAATCCCTCGATCTCTATTTTGAGTTTTTAGTTGTCTCCCGCTACATCTGAAACTTCGAAAAATCATAACTTACCAATACGAAGTCTGATTTGGGTGTTCTTTTTATGTATGTTCACAATTTAATGATATCTACGATTTTCATTTAGATACTTAAGGTTAAAAAGTATTTTATTAAAACTTCGCATTTTACGTTTAATTGTATTGATGGGTTTGTTGTGAATCTTAGGTTGGTCATAACTTCTTCGTTAGAACTCAGATTTTAGTGGTATTTATATTTCTAAAAACCTTCACATGATAACTATCATTTATGAAATCTAGTAGATTTTTTTTGAACATCTTATTTTCGACAATAATTTCATTATATTAAAAGGGGTACAATTCTTGACTTTTTTGGTCATTACATTGATTCGAAATATCGGGTTGTTATATCATCTCCCCCGTTAGAGGGAATTTCATCCTGAAATTTAATGTAAGATAAATATTTTTGGATTAGGGAAAGAGATGCGTATAATTTTGTTTTATTTAATCTTCGCGCTCCCAAGTGTATTTAGGTCCTCGCTTTGCATTCCAACGGACCTTCACAATGGGTATGCGACTTTGCTTTGTTCTTTTAATTTCCCTATCCATAACCTCAATTGGTTCCTCTATAATGTGGAGACTCTCGTTGATTTCAATTTTGTCTAGAGGGACGAAAAGGGTCTCATTGGATAAACATTTCTTCAGGTTTGACACGTGAAGTTAGGATGTACGTTATTCAGATCCTGCAGTAGTCGAAGTTTGTATGCTACTGGACCGATCCTTGCAAGGATCTCGAATGGTCCGATATATCTTGGGTTTAGTTTCCCACGTTTTTCGAAACGTACTAACCCTTTCCAGGGCGAGACCTTTAATAGCACTCGGTCCCCGACCTGAAATGCCAAGGGCTTCCATCTTTTGTCCGCATAACTCTTTTGTCTGTCTCTTGAAGCATTTAGTCGTTCCCAAATCTAAATGATCTTATCAGTTGTTTCTCTTATGGTTTTTGGGCATATGAGAGCGCTGTTGGGTACTTGTCCCTTGGCTAGTTGTGTGTCACCCACTTCAACCCAACACAGTGGTGATCTGCACTTGCGGCCATATAGGGCTTCGAATGGAGCAACTTTAATGCTAGAGTGATAGCTATTGTTGTATGAGAATTCAACTAGTGGTAAATGGGTATCCCATGCTTCAACAAAATCAATTACATAAGCTCTTAGCATATCTTCCAAGGTTTGTATGGTCCTCTCACTTTGATCGTCAGTTTGTGGATGGTAAGCGGTACTCATGTCTAACCTCATTCCTAGAGACTTTTGCAGCGACTGCTAGAATCGTAAGGTGAACCTACTATCTCTATTGGAGATGATGGATATTTGTACACCGTGTAGTCGTACAATCTCTCAGATGTATGTTCAAGCTAGCTTCTCTATCTTGTCGATTTCCTTTATGGGTAGGAAGTGTGCAAATTTTGTTAATCTATCGACGATTACCTAGATGGTGTCTAGTCCATCTGCTGTTTTGGGTAATTTGGTTATGAAATCCATGGT